TTAGATTTAAATAATTTAGGTGGTCGGGGGACAGACACCGTTTGTATAAAACTATGAAAACTATGGCTGGGTAACTGAACTAGAAGCTCAGAGAGGCGTTTAGGACTGCAACTCTCTGTCCTGGTCTCAACTCTGGGTTGTCAGGGATTTAAATTACTAATAAAATTTGCCAGGTTCCTAGAAATGAGAGCAGCTCCATCCAAAGTGGGGTGAATGCCGTCTCTCCTAATAAGACCAGGTTTTCCCCAGAAAGTTTGCCAATTATTAACAAAACCCACATCGTTTGCTGGACACCACCTGGACAGCCAGCGGTTAAATGATGACATGCGGCTAAACATGTCATCACTGGTCAGATTTGGGAGGGGTCCAGAGAAAACTACGGAGTCCGACATCGTTTTTGCATATTCACACACCGAGGCAATATTAATTTTAGTGACCTCCGATTGGCGTAACCGGGTGTCATTGCCGCCGACGTGAATAACAATCTTACTGAATCTACGTTTAGCTTTAGCCAGCAGTTTTAAATTTGATTCAATGTCGCCCGCTCTGGCCCCAGGGATACATTTGACTATGGCCGCTGGTGTTGCTAACTTCACGTTCCTCAGAATAGAGCTGCCAATAACCAGAGTTTTATCCTCAGCGGGTGTGTCGCTGAGTGGGGAAAAGCGGTTGGAAACGTGAACAGGCTGGTGGTGAGCCGTGGGCTTCTGCTTGGAGCTGTGCTTCTGGCGAACCGTAACCCAACCTCCCGGCTGAACGGGAGTTACCGGAGGACAGTTAGCAGAGGCTAAGGCTATGCTATGTGGCTCCGCACCGGCTACAGGGGGCTGGCTAACTACCGCAGCTACTGAATGGTTTTCCATGGTGTGGAGCCGCGCTTCTAATTCACTAAGCCTCGCCTCCAACGCAGCAAATAAGCTACACTTATTACAATTACCACTGTCGCTAAAGGAGGCAGAGGCATAACTGAACATTTGGCACACCGAGCAAGAAAGAGCAGAAGGAGAAGCCATCGCTAACTGTAAAGCTAATGTAGCTACCAAGGCTAGTAACGTGCAAACAACAGCTAAGAGATTAGCGAGAAAGTCGTAGAAAGGAGGAGAGCTATAAGTGCTTAAACAGAACCACTGTGGGTTAAGACTTGAAGTAGACGTTAAAGCAACTGAAGTGAGAAAGCAGGCTAGCAGAATTCACCAGAGCAGTACAGAGACGCTGTCACAGAAACACCGGAAATGACACAACTCGCTTACCGCAATACGTCAGCACATCAGAGCTTTTCCGGGCCAGTGGGACTTTATACCGTTTTCCTGATGGCAGTAACTGGAAGGAGTGGTGGAGGGGGTGAGAGGGGTCCTCTGTGATCAGGGTGGCTTTCCTGATCAATGAGCGGCTGTACAGTTCAGACAGTGGAGTTTGAGGTAATTTTGCTGGAATGCGGGAGAGTTTTGTTTTGTTTTGTGTTTGACGGTGAGCAGGTTGTACCAGGATGAAATATTGAAGGTGAGATTGAGTGAGCGGTAAACCAACGTTAAAATGTCCTTGCTGACACGAAAAGTCCTGAGTTTCCTCAGCAGGTAGAGGCACTGTTGTGCTTTTTTGTATACTGAGTCAGTGTGCTGTGCAAAAGACAGGCAGGTGTCTATGTCAGTATCCAGGTATTTAAAAGACTGAACCTGCTCCACCAGCTGACCCTGGATGCTGAGTGGTTGGAAAAAGGGCGATGCTGTTTTGTCTCTGCCCCGACAGCACAGCTCCTTGGTCTTTGTGATGTTGAGCTCCAGTGAGTAGTCAACAAATGTTTGTACCAGGCTGTTGACTGCCTGCTGGTAAAGGGGCAGTGCATCAGTGCCAGGCAGGTGTGCCACCAGGACCATGTCATCCGCATATTTAAAAAGTCTCATTCCTTCACCTTGTAAACAGAGAAGAGAATGGGGGATAAAACACAGCCTTGGGGAAGTCCCGTGTTTAAAACCAGCTTACTGGATTTAAAACCATTTAAAAGCACCTGCTGTGGTCTGCCCAGTAAAAACTCTTAATCCATAAATCAGTGTCGGGTGAACCTGAAGGTCAGAGAGGCAGTGCAGCAAGTTGTTAGTGTTTACAGTATTAAAAGCAGAAGAGAAATCCATGAATAAAATCCTAGCGTGTCGGTGTGCAGAGTCCAGATTTTTAGCAACAGTGTCCAAAAGTATGAGACTCCTCTACACTGCGTTTTGGTTTATAGACAAACTGAAGTGGATCCAGTTTGTCTGACAGCATGTCGATAGCTGGTCACACACTACTCTCTCCATACATTTACATAAAACAGATGTCAAAGCTACTGGTCTGCAGCAGGTGTCTTCTTTGGGATTGGGATTATAGTAGATTCCTTCCGCTGGTTGGGGACATGGCCAGAATCCAGAAGGTGCTGGAACAGTCTGGTGAGAACTCTAAGAGGCCTTGTGTGGGTTGATTCTACGCAAGATGTCACTAGCTGTTCATCAACGGTGGGGCTGGAGGTTGGGGGGTCCAGGTGGTTGGTGTGCTGCTGCTGTTGGACTGGGTGAAGTAAGGGTTAGGGTTAGGGCTATTTAACTGTTCCATGAAGAAGGTGGGATCGGGGTGGTCAGCCACTGCAGGCTTGGAGGCTCTGCCAATCATGATGTTTAAGCCCTGCCACGCCTCCCTTGCATTTCCAGAAGTTAATTTCTTCTAAGTTAAAGACTTTTTTATGTAAACAAAAGACTTAGTTTATTTCTCTCTTGGGATGGTTACAGTTTTATTGCAGTTTTTTTTTTTTTTTAGAACTTTACATGACTAGTGCTACAGAGCTTATAGAATAGAATAGAATAGAATATCTTCATTATCATTGTACATGTACAACAAAATTGAATGCAACCTCCTCAGTGCCAATGACAGTAAAAAAGAGCTTATAAAAACAATAACAAACTATATAGTCAAAAATGAAAGTATAAAAACACACACAGGGCATTTAGCCTATTGCACAAATCCCTTTGTATTGCACTCAGACATAGTTCCACAGTCAAATTTTAGTGCATTCATTAAATGCAGTTATTGCTTTTGGATAAAACCTGTTTTTTTAACCAGTTTGTCCTGTATCTCCTGCTCGAGGGCGGCAGTTCAAACAGAAGGTGTCCTGGGTGGGACAGAATGTTCTGGGCTTTTCTAAGCCAGCAGGATCTATACATCTCTTCCATGGAGGGGAGAGGACAGCCAATAATTTTCTGAGCGTTGTTGACGACCCTCTGGAGTGCTCTTCTGTCTGCAACTGTGCAGCTGGCATACCACACACATATATAGTATATCAACCCACACTCTATGGAGCAGTGGTAGAAAAACCACTGGTGAGCTGGTTCCTCCTGAGAAGTCTTAGGAAGTAGAGTCTCTGCTGTGCCTTCTTAATTAATGCTGTGGTATTGGCATTCCAGGTCAGTGTCTGTTTTATTTCTCTTGTAGTCATTGATCAGTTCCTTGGTCTTGGTGGTGTTAAGGAGCAGGTTATCGTCCCTGCACCACCCACTCAGCCGCTCAATGTTGTTCTAGTGTTCTAGTCTGCTTTTAAATGCCAAAAGCAGAAGAAGAGCCCGTACCAGCACAGAAGAAAATTGGTGACAAGTGCAGCTACAGCAACAGCAGTGCCTTGACTTGTCAAAAAGCATTTTTTTTTCCTGAGGCCTTTATATTTTGTTTATTCTTTGCAATTGGAGAACTACTAGTTGCCAACAACTTGAAGAGGCACTGAGAGCTGCAAGGTTGCTGTTTTTTCTGGTCGTCAGTGTTGAAAAATGTTTAACTTTTGGGAAAATGCTGCACAAATCACTGGATATGTTTACATGCACACTAATATCCCCATTTGTAGCAAACTTTGAAAAAATCCTATTTTAATGCAAAGAAGCAAAATGACGAGCAGCTCCAGAGGTTCCTCTGTTTTATAGGGAACATCATAATGTCTAACTTGCGATATGATTTAGTGTGATATATACTGAAGTAGCCTAGTAGTTATATCAACATCTGAAAGTAATCAACGTCTGACTGTCACATCAAATAAAGAAAGTATGATTCAAAAACATTTCGACAATATTAATTGTCACTTAACATTGAACTATACAGATATGCATTTAAAAATAAAATGGAGAAAATAAATTAAATAGTTTTTGAAAAATTGTGCATCTTAAAATAAAGTGCTTAATTTTGGAAAAAATAAAATGAAGTTTAGCAACAGCTTGAATTTTCTTTTTTTCTTTGTAAACTGTTACACATCTTGACTTAACAGTCTCAACCAATTTGACAATGAATAAATAACAATTGAACAGTTTAACTGTTTCTCTTTCTTGGGATGGCTTAACTTGCATGCAGTTGGTCTGTGCATTTCTTGATCAGCTAAACCGTTACCATAAAGACTAGAAAAGTTGCGCCAGTTAAAATAGAAGCGTCCCCTCAAAATTTAAAATCCCTTATTAATTTACTGGTTATAGGTCCGGGTCCGTACAGGACGGTGTCTGGGTCCGGATTCGGACCGCGGTCCGCCTGTTAGTGACCAAGGGCATAGAGTATTAAGGGAACATTAATTTTTTCGCCATGTAAGCAGCTTAGTGGGAATGTTGTCTTTTTCAGAATAAGAGCAAAAACTGGAATATTTTGTGCATGAAAACGTATTGATTATCACTTTTCAGTCACAGTGGAGGAGTCCTACCACAATAGCCTAAAACAAAGACCTACTGTCACATCTTACATGTACAAGTGTTGAACAACAACAACAATGGAGAAGTATTTTAACATGAATTTTAATGGTTTTAATAAAGAAGTGTATGTAAGTACTGGGATTTATTTTTTATGTTTCATTTAATATTTTTTGATTGTTGTTCTTGTTCGTGTTATCGAATTTTATTGATAATCATGTAATTTCACTCACATATAGACTACTAAATTTCTGGTATCATGACATGCTATAAGCAGTTACTTAAAGAAAGCATAATTTCAAACTTAACTTAAAGTCCTACCTTAACAAGTATTTTGGTGACAACCTGGCCGATGTCCCGTCTCCACTCTGGGATGTTTGGGTTGAAGCTGTCCAGGTTTGCGCTAAAACTCAGAGGGATAACCTGAAAGTTATCTGGGACAGAACAGAGGAGTGGTTAGCAGTCATTAGTATGTCATTTAGCTTACGAAGATGTACAGGAGTACGGGAAACCAGATTAATTTGTGAAGAGGCATATGGATCATGCACCTACAATGAAATTACATTACTCCAAGTCATCCCAGTGGATCCCAGTCATTATTAAGATTAAAATTAACCTTATTGCACTGATTCAAACAATAACTGGTACTACTGCTTCTTAAAACAACCAAGCCCATCTGTTTATAAAAAGAAATCTGGCAAAATTCATCGTGTGACACACTCATCAACAATAACTGATGAGTTTCTACTATATTCTATGTAGGGCTATCAGCGTTTATGCAATTAAGAACCACTATTCTGAAAAGGAAAAGAACAAAAAAATGTTATAATGAAAAATGCTTTCTGTTATGTTAATTTCTATATGCTGCTGTATCAACCCAACTCTACATTAAGGTTCTTTCAAATGTCATTGTTACCGTAGACTTGAACTGTCCTGGTATCCTGCACCATAGTTCGGCCATTAGAAGCCTGGACAGTGACTGAAACCTCTCCTGTCTCTGGGAAACGAGTCAGAAGGCTGTTCTGCAGAGTCAGCGTAGGCTACAGGAGAAAGTCACAGGCTGGCTGTTAGGTAGGTCAACTGTGTACACAGGGTGTGTCTGAAAAGTCTGAGATCAAAATTGGGCTCAAACTGTCATCCTTACTGAAAGTGGTTTTGACAACAGTCACATAATTTAACAAAGTGAAAACAATGTGACAATGTGAAAGGGATAGCTCATACAAGCCATGAAGCTATAGAGGATCATCAGTGGGATCTGCAGCTCCCCTCAGCTTTAAAGAGCTTTAAAGTGAATTTCAGCTCACTGTTTAGTTGTCTGGGTGCAAATTTGTTGTTTTGGTTCACTCTCACAACTCTCATAGTGCATGTATCAGTCACAGCAGTCACCTGTTTCTAGAGAAAAAAGATCTAAAACTCCATAAAACACTACCTGCTCAGCAGCAAACAGCAGACGGGCAAAGTTAGCAACTATTTAGTGAACCTACTGGAGCATTTCACAGTTAAAGAGACAGATATTGTTCTCAGGAGTAGGTAACAATCAAAAACAGAGCTAAATGGAGAGAAAATAATGGGCATACAAGGTGGACACAAATATGACTCCAAATGAATGATAATATTGCTCATTAATATTGGATAGATAGCAAACATTATTTTGCTAATATGTTAACTATAACAACTTTATAAGGTGATAATATTGTTTGTTTTACTGCCCCATTGTAGCCAAAATAATAAACTAATGTAGCTTTATTTGTGAATAATTTTGTGAAAAAAAAAATTAATAAATGAATAGATTTGATGTCAGGTAATGCTATGAGATAAAGTTTGCTGTATGTCCTTTACCTGCAGGTTGTCTCCTATCCACCAGTAGAAGACGGACAAGTTGGCCTCTGTGGGAAGAACTATGGCTGTTAGATTGACCTCATAGTTTCTCCCAGTGATTGGAACCACTTCCAAGTGCACTTCCTGTAGAGGGGCTGTTAGAAAAGAAAACATCCACTTCAGTTTTGAATGTCTTTAAATTGCAAGTCAAAGTCATTTCAGTGTCAATTTGTTTAGAATAGAATAGAACCGAATAGAACTTTAATTGCCACGCAATCTTAGTCGGTGGTATTTGCTTTTGGTACATATATACAGGACACTACTTCATCGTCACAACATCAACAAGTGCATACATACATACAGACATACATGAATAAAGTGCATACAGACATCCACAGAACATATTGCGGAAAACAATAGCCCTGTAGCCAAAACCCACACAATGTGACACACCTGAAACCAAAAAAACACAAAACAAAAAACACAACAGTACAACACAGTCATATATGCATATAAAGTCCATATGCATGCTAACGGAGGGAGTTGAGTGTTCGTATTGCTGTGGGGGAAAAGCTGTTTTTAAAGAGGGTGGATTTTGTGGCAAGTGACCTGAGATGCCTACCAGAAGGGAGGGTCTGGAAAAGATGGTTTGCTGGATGAGAGGGGTCTGAGATGATTTTATTTGCCCGTTTAGAAACACACTGATGGGATATGGATTCGATTGATGGGAGGGCAGAACTGGTGATCTTAGAGGCCTTGGACACGATGCGTTGTAATTTCATCTTTGAATGACTGTCCGGTTTACCATACCAGACTGTGATGGAGGAGGTGATGACACTTTGGATGGCTGTGTAGAAGTGGACCAGGAGGTGTTTATTGACTCTGAACTTTTATACAAGCATTTTGAATAAGATAAGTATACTATCTGAGGCCAAACCTAATGATCTAATCTTAAAATAAATTTGTGTTCTTCATAATATGCTTAAACCCACATATGGAAGCAGCTCTTTGAGTTTTAAAGCTGCAAAGAGACAGAGACATCTTTCAAAGTATATTAAGGATGATAATGATAATAATAATAATGAGAAGAACCTCCAAACCCCACTGACTGAAAAACGATAAAAGATTTACCTTGTATGCTAAAATTCAATAGTCAAGACATTTTCGTCATTTTTATCTCTTTTAGGTGTCAAACAATTTTTAGGTCAAGAGAGTGTGCAGGCTACTGACATGTCGTGGGATGTCTGGGTGGTAAGAACTACAGGTTGTTCAAAACATAAAGTTCATCAGTTTGAAGATTCATTTTTTATCTTTGTATTGTATTTAATTAACTACAGGTCAACAAGGATTCACAAATCACTGCATTCTATTTTTATTTACGTTTCACACAGCATCCCAGCTTTTTTGGAAACAGGGTTGTATATTTTCACCTGTCGTGTCCCATTAAGTTTAACACAGCACAATATGAGTGTGTGTGCACTCTCAACTAATGTTTTCTTAGGTCTACTGGTACTTTCAATTCTTCAAAAACTTTGTATTCTTCTGACATTGAACATTAAAGCCACGTGTTTGGGTCATTGTTTCAGTTGTGCACATTCAGCACCACTATCCTCATGGAAAGCACTCTCCACTAAATCTTTAAAATTAGTAAAAAATAAGTTTATAACTTAAAATTAATGTAGTCAGCTGAGTAACTGTGGCAAGAGCTGCTAGTTAAAGGACTACTATGCAGGATTTTCCTGAAAGAATACTAGGTCAAAGCCTATTATTTAGCCGGACTGCGTATTGTCAAGTGCAAAATTGTGGCCTAATTGTTACAAAAATATTCAGTAGCAGTGTCAGTGTGTGAATTCATGGATATCAGGTACCCGTTTGCGGTTTGCTGTAGTGGTCCCAGTAATGGATTGAGTCAAAAAAAATGTTAGAAATGCAGTTAGGAGAACAAAACTTTACAGTCATATCTTAAGGTGTTTATGATATGGTTTACAAGGTGACACACAGTATATAAGGCATTAGCATGATACAAGGCTTTAACATCATTTATTGCAGAACTATCCTGAAAAGTTCATTTAAACTGTCCTGATGTAAATTCTTATCTCAATAATAAAATGGCTGTATTTCAGTGATAAAACTAAAATAGAAATATCAGGGTTCCTGTACATTTTCATTGAAAAAAAAAAAAGACTTTTCAAAGACCCAAAACTACATAAGCCGAGAACGGCCATGTATTATTCTTTTTTTGTGCACTGTTTTCTCATGATAACGAATTAATTATCTCGTTATCTCGTCATAACCAAGATTGTTTTCTCGTGATAATTGTCAAGTCTGATGATTGTACACTGGTTAATGTGATCGTCCTGATTTCAGCCTACAAGAGCTGCCACTGGCTGTACTGGTTACAACTTAACAGGCGACGGTTAAGTGATCCTGCTGAGATTGTTAACTTCATTAGCAACCAGGACTGGGTCGTCTTCATACCCAGTAGTCCGATCGCCAGTTACTCCAACCACAGCACTTCCAACATGAAGCAGTCTGTGCATTTCTCCCTCACTGCGCCGGCACGGACTTTGAGGACAGTTGTGTTTATCTCATCGACGGGAAATCACATCCATCTGCTATTTGTGACGTACATGCCCTTATTTGGATAACACATTCTGGTATTCCCCACACATAAATCCTATTGACAGCGTAATGCGCTCTGGCTGCAGATGTATATTAAGCATTAATCTGTTCTTGCAGCACGTCTACAGAAATTATTTTGTTAGAAACAAACCATCCACCTGTCTGTCATCTCACCTGTACTAACATTTTGCCTAGCCTTGACCAGCGAATTCATCAGCGTGTAACAATTCGCCAACAACAGAAACTGAGGCTTATGTCACAACGCTACTTTTACAGGTCATGGGAGACACAGGTTCACGGTGCCAAGCTGAAACCCCTGATATAACATGAAACCCCCAAAAAGCTTAACTCTTTTTGCTTTCAAAATGCAGCAATAAATTGTATAAAAACAGAAAGGACTCGTATGGTTAGTTTAACTCAACAACTTTAGTGTAATTAAATTAAATCAAACTCAAATTAACGGCTCGGGCGAGTCACTCAATTAGCCTAACACAGCGCGTCACGCCGATACAGAAAACAAATAACATAAGTGCATTTACTGCTTTTTTATTAATTCCAGTCACGTTTTACGTGTGTGAGAATATCATATGTGAGGCTATTCCATAACTAAAACGGTGGTGAAAATATTTAACTTTGCTAGACGGCATTTCTCTGAGCCATTCGTTAAAAGGAAATAATTTATTTGCTGTGGAAAGAAGACAACGTAATGCGGAATTATAGGTTAAACAATCTTCGCTTCCTTTAATTTAGTCTGGATAACAGTAGTAGCCTAATAGTAGCTGCAGCGGCAACAGCGTTAGTTGCCAACAGCTGTCTTGTTTTTATTTCTTTATTACCTCCGCCAAGGAGGTTATGTTTTCGCCTACGTTGGTCTGTTTGTCTGTTTGTTTGTCTGTTTGTTTGTTTGTCTGCAGATTAACTCAAAAAGTTCTGAACGGATTTTGATGAAATTTTCAGGAAAGGTTGCCAATGGGACAAGGAACAGGTGATAAAATTTTGGTGGTGATCGGCTGAAGCAAAGTGGATAAAATAATAAAATGGCGGGAAATCCAAGCTGCTTGGCGGAAGTCTGTGCTCTCTGAGTGCTTTTCTAGTTACAGATATGCGACGTTATTTTGGCCATGGTGATCGCCGCTTGCTGTTGGTGTGCAGGACTTCTGTTTTTCTGCTGATGTTGTTTTTTTTTATTATCTATGTACACTGTCTTGGTTCGTCATGTCAGAGGTAGTGAGTTTTGGAGTATAGACATTTGTTTGTTTTTGCATCTTCAGCACCAAGGACAGCGCTTAAAGTGATTTTGTTATAACCCCTGCCTGTAACTGGCTCTGGGACATCTTCAGCACCAAGGATAGCGCTCAAACTATGGTAGTTCTTGTCTGCCTTTGTCATGCTGTGAATTCTACTGTTGGCCTCCTTATGGAAAAAATGTAATAAAGTTTACATTTGTTAGAACTTAATGTTTTATTTGTGTGTATCTTATGGCAGCCAGTCAGCAGCCTAGTGAGTGGCGATGTTGGATGGGCTATACAGATATACATACATACATATATCGTCAGATGGATGTAATTTCCCGTCGATGAGATAAATGCAACTGTCCTCATAGTCCGTGCCGGCGCAGTGAGGGAGAAATGCACAGACTGCTTCATGTTGGAAGTGCTGTGGTCCGACTAACTGGCGGTCGGACGGTATGAAGACGACCCGGTCCGGTCCGGTATGAAGACGACCCGGTATGAAGACGACCCGGTCCTCTTATCTGGTTGCTAATGAAGTTAACAATCTCAGCAGGATCACTTAACCGTCGCCTGTGAAGTTGTAACCGCGCTGGTCTTCTCCTTAAATGACGAGGACTAATCTGAATACCATCTCTAACAGAAAGACACAATGCAATTTCTGCCTGTGTTAGACCTTGGTTGAAGTACATCCTGAGGCGCTGATCAATAATGTGATCTGCCATTTTCACCTCCCTGGGACACCTGGACCAGCCAGTGGCAGCTCTTGTAGGCTGAAATCAGGACAATCACATTAACCAGCGCGCAATCATCAGACTTGACAATTATCATGAGAAAACAATCTGTGTTATGTCGAGATAACAAAATAATTAATTTGTTATCACGAGAAATCAATCTTTGTTATATGGAGATAATGAAATAATAAGTCGTTATCACAAGATAACGAAAGATGGGGCGGCAGTAGCTCAGTCCATAGGGACTTGGGTTGGGAACTGGAGGGTCGCCTGTTCAAGTCCCCGTCCGGACCAAAATATGGAGCGTGGACTGGTAGCTGGAGAGGTGCCAGTTCACCTCCTGGGCACTGCCGAGGTGCCCAGGAGGGCATGCACTTAGTGCATGTATGGTCCTGTTTGTGCATGTGTGTGTTCGGACCTGTGTGTAATTGACAACAGAGTGAAAAAATTGAATTTTATTATTTTATATTAATAAAGTATATACATATATAAAAAATAAAAAAAAGAATAATACATGGCTGTTCTCGGCTTCCGTACAAAACAAAATTTCCATGACCATTTTCAACGTATAACATTAGTATACTTTACTCCATATGTTAATTATTACAAGAAAATGAAACAGCAAACATTTCCAGTTTCTAATACTTAGTTATGTTCATATTCATTTCAAATTACTTAAAACTACAGGAACAGTGTCCTTCATAAAATAAAATTTAAAAAAAAGGGAGAAAAAACAACAACAGCTTTACAAGCACTTGTTAAGTCTGGCACTGACTTTCAAGCTGTTTGTTCCCTTTTTGTCACAGTTCTGCATCCCTGCTCTCCTGCTCTGCTTCAGCACCAGTTCACACCAACCTCATCTACACAACTCAGTTCACCTCTTCCTTATTACTCACAGCCAGTAAATACACCAAGCCTCACAGACACTTATGGCCAGATTGTTCTTCGCCCCTTAGGTGAGACTCTCCAACACTTTATTCTGGACTGATTTCCCATTGCTGACCTTGACTCTCTTCGACCTGCCTGCTTCGTTTGATTCCCGGTAATTGCACCAACCTTCTGTCCCTGACAACAAGATCGGCTTCCACATCCTTGGTTCCTGTTTGTCGGTAGCTGCTTGGCATTACCATATGACAATGACTATACAGTGTGAGTGTTGTAGTCTGCTTACCTGTGGTTTCCTGCGGTCAAGAGATTTTTATTGTGTCATCACACTCGCCACTGTGTGTGCACCCTGTGAATATTTACCTGCTACTCAGTTTTTTAATACATTCACACACCAATGGAACAGCCATCGGGAGCAATTTGCAGTATCAGAACCGCTGATCTTTCGATTGGTGGCCGACCCGCTCTACCTCTAAGCCACAGCCACCCCTAATGCAGAGTATGATGTCTGCCATATCAAATTTGCCAGTATGTCCATCCCATAGTCATCACTAAAGTGGTAAATGGTCAATGGACCTGCATTTGTATAGCGCCTTTCTAGTCATCCCACCACTCAAAGCGCTTTTTACACTAGGAGTCACATTCACCCATTCACACACACATTCATACACTGGTGGCCTAGGCTACCATACAAGGTGCCACCTGCTACTCAGTTTTTTGTTTTTTTAACACACTGACACACTGATGGAAGCATCACCAGGAGCAATTTGGGGTTCAGTATCTTGCTCAAGAGGAGGAGCTGGAGGAGCCAGGGATGGAACCGCTGATCTTCTGATTGGTGGACGACCAGCTCTACCTCTGAGCCACAACAAACACCATCCTCACACCATAGCTGCCTGTATTAAAAACAGAAGTTATAAGTATATGTTAAGAAGAAAAAACTAATACACAGTTAACTAATTACAGTACAGATATACAGACAACATGACAATTTTTTTTGCAAGACACAACAATAGTAAATGAAGCAACATGAATTGCAACATATTTTGCATACTTATCACAAAATGGAGAGAAAGCTTCTGTTGAGGAGTAGCAGACATTTAGCTGAGCAGCCCCTCGATGGTATTCTTCTTTAAATGAAGTTGAAACTCCTGAAAAATTTCTCCATAAAGAAAGGGAAAATCCAACACAAAAGCTAAAATGAAAAGTCAAATGTTACATCACAATAGAGTAGTGAGTAGTAGTAGTGTTTGCACGCATCGAATGTGAGAGTGTATACAATTATCACATATTGGATTAGAAAGCATACCTGGGGTCAGGGATGCAGAGCCCACTACTGTACCATGTGTACCATGATGTGGCTTTCACTGTTATGAGAAGGCGTACTACACTAGCTTACTACAGAGAATGTGAACGATAAACAAACTAAAATGTTTTGGGTTTTTTTTTTTCATGTTAACCAAACCTTTTTTTACAGGTGTTTCACTGATGATAAATTATGCTTCTTGCACTTTTTATTCTGTGCGAAATCATGTGTCTTGTGTCTCATTTCCTATTTCTCAGATTTACATTAACATAATAACATAATTAACATTCCTTCGGCAATTCGTTTAAATATTGCGGTATCCACAGTCAGTCTGCCGTGTATCTAATGTTAAAGGTTGTTGCTAAGGTGGTGGCACATGTTCGACATTTTAACACGTAGGCATAATTCCTAATGACGATTTATGGCTTGTGTCATACAGACACTGCTCTTCCTCAGTCAAATTGATGAAGTGACCTTCTCTTTCCTTGGTACAAACCTGCCATGGCTGGGTAGTTGGCTAGCTAGCTTGCTAAAGCAACCATGCTTTCATGGTAACATTACACTGGTTAATGTTACTGAAAATGAGCTGGATGAAATTGTCACTCATCTGATATTAACAATTTGCTTTCCTACGCTGTGAAAAGAGTGTGTGAATGAAGCATTACAGCGTAAAATTTTACTCATTCTACACCAGTTACAGAAAATGAGCCAAACAACGGGCTGATGACGCAGTGCTAGGTTGGTTTCTCAGTCTCATTCCCTGCCACTGGGAGACTACTGGGCCAGAAGAAAAGAGAATGGTAGCTCTGGTGATATACTAGCCAGCCCTGGCTTGCCAGTCTCTGGTGCTGCCATCCGCTGTTCTCCCGATGAAATAATCTCCAGGCAATAGAGAACCATGGTGAATTTGGGCTTTAAGGCTAACATTGCCTGCATTGCGGCAGCGATTCAGACACTGTAACATGTAATATTCACTTCGACTTCTGATAAAAGTCTAGGAGACAAACATTTTGCTTACCTCTGGCTGGCAAATTTAGATGTCTGTAGATTGTAGTATCTTAGACCAGAAGAATATTCTGTCCTTCGTGTGTGGTAGATGCTGAATGAATGAACTGCAGTCATAAACAGAAGAGCTGTATTCGCCCTATGAGGATGTTATAGAGAACTGCAATGGCAGTCAAGAAATAGTATGGCTGCACACAGAAGCCTCCCTGAGGATGTATTATCAGACTGTCTCGGTGCTATGACCAGGATGTCAACCTTTGGGTAGTGGTGTGTATTCCCCAGCCAATAGCAGCAATAGGTTGGAACTCAACATAAATGTAGTGACCAGGTGACATCGCTGTCTCTGTCACTCTCCTCTGCTGTGTGGATGCAAACTGCAGGTCTGTGTGTCTGTTTGATTGAGGATGAGGTTGACAAAACACACACACACACACACACACACACACACACACACACACAGCAGAGAAGCCAAGCAGACAGACTGATGCTTTCTACAGGGTTTGTACGGAGGTGTGGGTGTGGTAATTTGTGCTCCTGAATACAATCAGAAAACAATGTTTCATTTCTCTGATGCACTTTGTTCTCATTGAGTCCGCTTATTTTCTTCATTTACTCTCTAGCTTGTTTGACCACTGCTGCTCTTAGTCTCAGTGAGCCAAGGAGGAGGAGCCAAGTTTGAATGTATGAACAGTAACAAACAAATCCTGCATAGTATGCCTTTAAGCTCATCTTCCACCTATGCATATGTGAAATCTGATCCCTCATGCACTAAGCTGCTTTTGCTAAAATGTCAGGTTCAGGAACAGCCCTATCTTTGTCTTAATATGACCGAACACAGATGTTTAAAAATAAAAACCAGGAGCAGTGATGAAAAGCAACACTACTATGATCCAAACAGACAGAAAGTCATCATGGGGTTTTTCACACAGCGGCACCTTCATTTTGAGCATTCTTTACCTCTTTACCTTTCAACACATACGAATGCCTTGATTCACTACTTACACCTGGGCATTAAATGCCCATTTTATTAAAGAATATGGCATGATTTCTCAATCGTGCTGTTGGTATTTGCACCAACAAGCATTGACAGAGAAACCCCCCCAAAACAAAACAGTTTTTTGAGTTGAAGACTCTGAGGTTTGTCTTTCAAAAAGGACTTGAGACATAAATTTGACTCATTTTTTAAAGACCTGAGACTTAATTTGGACTAAAGGCTATCTTTCAAAAGGACAAAGTATGCATAGTTGATTAATCACCACATAAAAACACTGAGTGACTGTCTGGAAGGCAGACCTGTGACCTGGATGTACATGGTGGCCTTGTTGTGCCCTGCCATGTTCTCGGCCTTCACTGTGACCTTGTAAATGCCTGGATTTTTGTAGCGATGCTGGATGGGCTCATCCGTCACTGTCAGGTTCTGGTAGATGGCCCGAACGCCGTCACCAAGGTCCACCTGGTACTTGGTACTGCTGGTGTCACCCTGGTGGGAAAGAGCTAGAAATTTCAACAGATTTCAACAACATGGAAGGAAGAAAAGGAGGAACTGACAAGAAACAGCTTTTATCCTACCTGTTCCTGGTGGACAACAAATGTGATGTCATCACCAGGCGCCACAGCCAACATCTGCCCTTTGATGCCCACCTGTAATCCTTTAGGAGGCAGCAGGGGGCAGCTGTGTTGTTTGGCGCTCTGGTGCTTGGTTAGTCCCCCTTCACACATGTTAGATATCATCTTCCTGTAGCTGAAACAAAGCAGAGGACAGTGCAAGTGTAAGAGTCTGGAGGTGGTAAATAGACGGAGATGACAAGATCAATATTAATCTCATAAATGTGTCTATGACGGAACAGGAGAAAGAAGCTCAGCAAAAAGACTGGAAGAGGGGAAAAGCTACTCTAATTCTGCCTAAAAATCAAAAGTTACAGCTAGCAGCACCTCTAAAACTCACTCAACAAATTATATCTAATTAATTTGATCTGTTCACAAACAAACATATAAAAACAAAAATTTGTAGGTTTAGCGGAAGTGCCTATAATTTCAACAGCAATGGACTAGCTGTTTTCCTCTCCCTCCAGTCTTTATGCTAAGCTAGGTAAAGCACATGTTGATTCGAGCTCCATAGCTAGTGCATAGACATGAGACTGGTATCAAGCTACTCTCACTGGTCACCAGTGAAAATTAATATTCTTGTTTCTCAGGTTTCCCAAAAATAATGTATTTAAGTGTGTGTGTGTGTGTGTGTGTGTGTGTGAATGTGTTTGTGCACATGCACAGACCCAGTGCTAGACTCATAGGTTTGCCCTAGATGGCAGTCCTCCAGTGGTGAATCTGGATCGTGCCAGAAGTCAGCGATGCACCGACTGTCTTCCGTGTGGGACCGTTCAAAACCATAGTCACTACACACACACACACACACACACACACACACAGAAATGATAGAAAAGAAACAGTGAAAAATTGTAAAATACTGACCTGCAAATTTAACGCCATAGCATTCTATATACGAAGATAATTAAATATTTTTGATGTAATAAAAGATATAAAATATCTTTTGTATATACTGTATAGACATATAAATAATAGATAGATAAAAATATTTTATAATTTTATTATATATTTTAATGACAAAATGTGGTCTGAGAAAATAATGGACAAGGTGAAAGCACCTGGGGCAATACAACAGTGGTACGGTATGTGTCCAAAGGGGTATTTTTGGGTGCAAGGGTTTTGCGCCAGTTTCCAGCATTGGACGCTTGGAGGCTTGCTTATAAACTTTCTCTTATATCATGACAATAATTCTGAAAATATTTGAGGCGAGAAATGAGCCAAGCAGTTTCTGAATCTGTCATGATTTTAAATGGACAATGAGGGGCATCCACCAAATGACGCTGGACACCGGATTTGCTTAGCTAGTAGCCAGACCTTAATTTCATACAAATACTAGGTTTGTCATATTTTTGTTTTCAAAAATGTGTGACTCCCCATTGTGTCCACAAGTCTGTTACTTGTTTCTTGTGTGTGAATTTTTATGCTGTTTGTTTGAACTATTTGCTCTTGTGTTCTTACGGTCCTTTCATACCTAACCTGTTTGGTTTGGTTAAAACAAACTCAGGTCCATTTGCACAGTTAGTACAGTTCATACAGTACAGTGAAAGCTGTCAATTAAACCCCAGTATGGACCAAACAACCGAACTGAGACTGCTTGAAAAGGTGGGTCTCAGTCTGCTTCCAAACAAACTCTGGTGTAGTTTGTTTGTGGTGTAAAAAAAGAACCATCCAGAGGATTTTATGATAGCAGATATGTGATTTTAGCAACAGCTAAACCAATAATAAATCTGATCGTGAAATCTGTCCACCATCTCATCATTGATCCTGATAAAGGCCATGTATATCCCATAACCTGTTTATGCTAATGCATACAGGTAACCATGGTAACACACATGCAAGTCAGTGAGGGTATTTTTACTGATTAAAAAAACTTCATTGTTTCTTACTCTGTGTACTTTGCCTTTTCATAAAGTCCATTAAAAAGTGTGTGACAGTGATCCCACAGTATCAAGCCCTGAATCATTACTGTACAAGACGCCTTCTTTTCATCCCATCTCTATGTTAGTCACTATTTACAACATGGCAATGATTTGCAGTCTTATAATAGCCGCCTGATAATGCTTACAATCAGTTATTTCTCTATGAGCTCATTGTGAAACCAAAGAACAGAAATATAAACATTTTAGAAGCATTGAAGTGCTGCTGCACAAACTTCTGTCAGTCACCAGAATTTAATTTTCCCATATGGGTCCTGATGGTCCTGATGATGCAAGATGACAAACGCCAAAACTGTCCAATCAACAAGTTACCTGTCAGTTGGTAGAACTGCATGTTTACTACTTTTGGTTCACTTGCAAAAAAAGTGAACAGGAACTGAACCAAAACTAAAATGTATCATTTTTTTCTTTCTAGTGTGATCAAATGAACTGAACTACAAGTGTGAGAGCACTCTTAGCTCCCGATCACACAGACAGTTTTGCAAGTTGCAACCTTTTAACAGTAATTAGTAGTTAGTTCCTAAGATGGACAGGCAGAGGGTTTCTTGTCCATTGTTTACCAACTGTAATCTTGCTACGACCACCACCTCTCAAATCATGTGATTGGACAATGGAAAAAAATATGTTTTTCCCCTTTCTGCTCCGAGTTGAAGTTTTTTCAACTCAAGGAGTTCAGAGCGCTTCAGAAAAACACCAGGCGCATGGAGCGCAGAAGAGCAACCCATAAACCATGAGCAAAAATCTTGATTCAAATTAAAAACAATTACAAAAAGCCACCTCAAGCTGCTGACTTGGAAAAAGAGATTTTAAATCTCAATGGGAATTACTCATGGTTGTATAAAGGTTAAATATATAAACATTTAAAATGATAACATATTTATTTAGTTAAAACATATTATATATTAGAATTTATATTTATTTATGCTGTATCTTACTACAACTTTCAGAAACAATAATCCAAGGAAATGTAATCTAAAGTCTGTTCAGTGTTTTCTTCATCTGTGCGGTGCTCACCAGTTGAAGTCTTTCTCTGTGCACTGACAGGGTTTGGTGGTAAGAGTTGATGTGTAGGTTTTTCCTTTGATACAGAATGCTGTTTCCTTCCTTTTCCTGAAACTCCGCTCCTGGCCCATTATGCACTTCTCTCCCTGAGAGTGACCATGGGGAAATGAGAATACAGTTTCAAATAAGCACATGTGTACTGTTTATGATGTGTCTGTACTGTATTTGTGTGTGTGTGTGTGTGTGTGTGTGTGTGTGTGTGTGTGTGTGTGAATTACCTGCAGGCCTGTAAGCTGCCAGGACTCGTAGTCAGACTCAGTGCACTGCCGGGGGAAAGACTGCCTGAAGTCCACTTTGACCAACTCCCAGTCTGACCTGTAGCTGATGTGACCAAACACACTGTGAACAGAACACACACCACATATACAAAATTAACACATATTCTTATATTATACTTCTCCACACATAGACATGTAGCTGTATCCAACTAACATAATTACAAATGTCAAATCTAATCTGTATCAGAGTAGGTTTATGCAGTTTTCTAATGGTGCTTTTTTTGGTAAAGAATCAGACTGACCTGATAAAAACAGCATTACCGTGAACGGGATACCAATTTGAAGTTTTAGTATCCAGATTCTAAGTAGTTCGTTAAACCTGAACACAGACAGACATCCCTGACATCCACTGACACTGCACCAGCACACCTCATGCTCCATTCTTATCCTTCCTCATGAACAGAAACTCCCAACCAGGGGAGAACAATCCACCATTTCTTGGAAGAGAACCATGCCATCAGATTTGAAGATGCTGACTCCCATTCCAACCACTTCACACTCAACTACAAACTGCTCCGGTGCATGCTGGAAGTCACCATCTGATGAAGCCAAATTCTTTTGGCTTCATCAGACGGTGACTTCCAGGCTCAGAAGCCTGGCATCACCAAACATCTTCCCTACAGTAATGTCTTCCATGAGTTCACCTGGAACTCCAAAACAGCAAGTATGTTAAGTCTGTTCCTTCAGCAAAAACTTGTGGGCAACAGCACTCACAAAAGACAAAAAAGTCAAAATGTATAATTTAATAGGGCAACACACGGTCAGACGCGTTTCGGCCTAAGCCTTCTTCAGTGTATCAAACAGAGACAAAAACACTGAATGCCTGCTATATATACACATATTGTGTATATATATATATATGTACACATACATTGTGGGGCGGCAGTAGCTCAGTCCATAGGGACTTGGGTTGGGAACCGGAGGGTCGCCTGTTCGAGTCCCCGTCCGGACCAAATATGGAGCGTGGACTGGTGGCTGGAGAGGTGCCAGTTCACCTCCTGGGCACCGCCGAGGTGCCCTTGAGCAAGGCACCGAACCCCCCAACCGCTCGGGGCACCTGACCAAGGGCCCCCCACTCTGACATCTCTCCACTTTGTGCATGTATAGGTCCTGTTTGTGCATGTGTGTGTCTTTTGGACCTGTGTGTAATTGACAAGCAAGAGTGAAAACAATGAATTTCCCCTCAGGGGGATTAATAAAGTAAATAAACTTAACTATAAACTTAAACATAGGTAAAGTTCTAGCACCAATCACAATGCAAGATATAATGAGAGGCAATAGAAACCATATGTGTTGCAGCTGCAGCCAATGACAGGCTGACACAGAACAATTGTCAAGACTGATAAATACAAACATGCAAATACATTGAAACATAAGAACATACAAGTTATTCAGACTCAGACTAGCTGAATGGGAAAAGGGGAGAATTAAAGTGACTGAAAAGAGGCTGAAAAAAGGCTTTTAAATCACGGGACATAACTCTACTAGAGACTAAAAGAACCCAAGCTAAGTAGTCTGAACCTAATACACACCAATATCAATACTCAAAAATGTAAAGTAGGAAAAGTTTAAAAATGATTACAGGGCTCCACTAATCCATTGTATAAAATAGAAAGCCTTAATAATGGAGGGGACAGTTAAGGTAAAACAAGTCTCTAAAAAAAGAGAGATCCTTAAATTACAAAAGGGGAAATTAGGGGCTTCAAGGATAAATGGAACCAATGTAAAATGCTGAATACAAATGTATCAAAAAAGTCTCTCAGGGAGGACTCTCAGTTTGCAAGATATGTATCCATTTAGCTTCTCTTTGCAATAACAGTTTGTCTCTATCACCACCTCTTCTAAGGGGCTGGATCATATCAATCCCCTGAAATTTGAGAGTGCAGACATCATGGCCAACAGAATTAAAATGTCTGGCCACTGGGGATTTCTCATCTTTGTTTCTGATGCTACATTTATGCTCAGAAATCCCTGTTTTCAATTCTCGCTTAGTTTTACCGACATAACCCAGTCCACATGGACATTTAAGAAGATACACTACATATTTGCTTTTGCAGGTAATTCTGTTTGTTATGCGGAACTTTTTGCCCATATGGGGATGTAGAAAAATGTCCCCTTTAATCATGGCGCTACATTGGGCACACTTAAAACAAGGAAAATTACCAACAAGAAGGTTAGAAGGAGAAAGAAAATGTTGAGGTGGAATGTAACAGTCAGATTTGACTAAAATGTCTCTTATATTCCTGGCACGTGTATGTGCAAAGATAGGCAGGGCCTGGAAAGAATATTCTATGAGAGGATCACCAGCTAAAATGTGCCACTGTTTCAAAACAACCTGCTTAATATCATAAGATAATGGAGAAAAGGTGGTGGCTAAAACCAATTTTGAGTCCCTTCTAGGGGGAAGTTTAAAGGATAATAAACCACTCCTATCAACATTTTTAGCTTTATCAAAGCAGGATTGGACCACTGAATCATGATAACCCCACACTGTTGAAACGGTCACACATTTCATGAGCCTGTTCATTAAAGGCATTGTCAGAGCTGCAGATTCTCTTTGCTCTTTTTAGAGACTTGTTTTACCTTAACTGTCCCCTCCATTATTAAGGCTTTTTATTTTATACAATGGATTAGTGGAGCCCTGTAATCATTTTTAAACTTTTCCTACTTTACATTTTTGAGTATTGATATTGGTGTGTATTAGGTTCAGACTATTTAGCTTGGGTTCTTTTAGTCCCTAGTAGACTTACTGTATGTCCCGTGACTTAAAAGCCTTTTTTCAGCCTCTTTTCAGTCACTTTAATTCTCCCCTTTTCCCATTCAACTAGTCTGAGTCTGAATAACTTGTATGTTCTTATGTTTCAATGTATTTGCATGTTTGTATTTATGAATTGATTCAGGTGCAACAGTCTTGACAACTGTTCTGTGTCAGCCTGTCATTGGCTGCAGCTGCAACACATATGGTTTCTATTGCCTCTCATTATACCTTACATTGTGATTGGTGCTAGAACTTTACCTATGTGTATATATAGCAGGCATTTAGTGTCTTTGTCTCTGTTTGATACACTGAAGAAGGCTTAGGCCGAAATGCGTCTGACCGTGTGTTGCCCTATTAAATTATACATTTTGACTTTTTTGTCTTTTGTGAGTGCTGTTGCCCACAAGTTTTTGGAATCATTCTGCAACTTGCACCCATTGTTTTTTTTAAAAAAATATTGGAGTTGTGCGTCCTCCTTCCCTCAGCCAGTCTGTTCCTAAAAAAAAAAAAAAAAAAAAAAAATCCTTCACCATGAAACCGGACTGGTTAATGTTAACTTTTAACTGACGATACACTGGACTGGCAGAGGTCCACCGAAATAAGTACTAACATTAACTAATTTTAGCTAATGTGAGCTTATGCTATCATGGCAAACATCAGGCTCGTCAAGAAACGTCAAGAAACAAAAGCAGAGACACACAGACTCTCACTGCCACTGTCATGGATGTCCAAGTTGACACTGGACATGGACGGTCTTGGCCTCTGTGCATTCATTAGTCATCACACTTCAGTTTGTAGAGTTTTATTTTTTTTCCCTCAGGTAATTTAACAAAAACACTGCGACAACAACAGAGTTGAACAATCATGTAATATTGTTCAGGGCTGCTTACTCCCATGCATTGACTGAGACTCATGTGATTAACACTTGTGGCACAGCACACATCCATTTTTTTTAAATAATTGCTTTTTAGAAAATATATTAATTTAAAAAGGAATAAATTCAGAACAGGATTGAATATTTTAAATGAAACAAATAGTTGTTTCTAGAGCAGAACCGTGTGTGTGTCAACCTTGTTGTTGTCATTGTTGTTTGTTGTTGTTGTTTTTTATTGCTACTGTGGCAGAATCAAAGGTCTTGAATCTTGAATCTTGAAACAGCAATTTTTACAACAGCAAAGTCACTATATAGATAATATTCCTGACATGACAATACTGAGTGAAGTTTTGCATTTATCCTGTCCTCTTTCCTCCTGTACTCTGTCCACCTATCCTCCTGTCCTATGGCCTCCTTTCCTCTGTCCTGCTCAATCTTTATTGATATGATTCACTGTGTGCAGGTAACATTAGCACTGGTAGAGAGAGGAGGGGCTGTTTGTGTCAACCAGCAGCTCAGTTTAAAACTATGTGCCCAATTTTAAGATAAGTGTCAAACTTAGTTAGTCTACATACAGACAGCTGTCATTGTAGCTTATTAGTACAATTTGTTATTAGCCAAATTAGCGTGCTGTCTAAACCACCATTCAAGACATGGTGAATGAGAGACCGCGGACAGAGCATATTGAATATCACTGTCTACATGCTTGCTTAACACATGTATTGATAAATTATTGGCTTACTCGCTAAGATTTCTTCACATTTACAGAAATGACTCGAATAATTTTCAAGTTATCTTCACTTTGTTTCCACCGTGGCCACTCAGCTGTTCACCAATTACGTTTGACATGTAGGTGTGTATGTGTGTGGAGGAGGTCAGCCCTGGCACAGAGCGCAGGTGAGCGGCTGCAGGATGATAATGAATTAAAACAAAATGTGTAAAGGTACCGATAAAATAACTAATACCGTCAGAGCTTACAGTACTACGGTCTGTGATAATTTGGCCCAGGGCTGATTTAGAACTGGGTTTTTGGTACCCATCCCTACTCTTAGCTGTGCTTTCATTATTATTAGCAGAGCCAGATTGAGTGATTTGTGACAAACTGCATTGCTTTATTTCTACCCTTTCTCTTACTGGGAATGTTGTTAGGCTATTGGCAGCTGTAGAAGAAGTAGGCCTACTCAAAACTTTTTTTTAAGAAAAACTATTAATAGCACTCAGCAAAAGTTAAAGACAAAGTCCTGCAGTCAGGAGAGGTATGATCAGCACAAGTTTACAACACACAAGTTTATTCAAGATTGGGTTTTTAATTCTTAGATAATCCGAGTTGGGGCTGGGCCGATCCTCGGCTACAGAAGTTGGCTCTTGGGCCATGGAATGTCTCCTCTCTGGCGGGGAAGGAGCCGGAGTTTGTGGAAGAGGTTGAGCG